AAATTTCTTTATTTTATTATCTCTTCAAAGACTAGTTAGAGCAGGATGGTCACCATAGGGTGGATGGATGGAGCCCCTCAAATCTTCACCGCCCCTTCTGCCTGCATCTTCCACCCCACGCAGGCAGGGAAAGGGGAGTCACTAGCTCCCTGCTTGCTCCCAAGTTAGACCGAAGGCTGCGGGGTGCATTGGCAATGGCTTAGATGTGGTGCACTCGACAGCCTTGGGTTCAATGGCACAGCCTGGCTGCTCAGCCCTCTGTGGGGAGGCAGAGGTCCCTCAGCAGCTTGAGCTGGAGGGAGCTCCGTCTGCATTGGCTGTTTCCATTAGGGGAATCCCATTCAGCACACATGGCCCCATCACAGTGATAGCTGCCCTCCCCAGGTACAGGTGGGATGAGGACTAGCCAATTAGACACAACAAGTCTACAAAGCAGATGGCACAAGCAAGGCAGGATGGCTCGCACACTCCAGTAGGTTAGTGCTCAGGGTGGCTGGCTCTCCACCTCTCCCCCACTGCAGAGATGGGCAAGCAGAGGAAAGGAAATCCATGCACATGAGAGCTATGCAGCACCCCTCTGCCAATGGGGAGACCTGTGGAGGCTGGAAGCAATTCCTCTGTGCCAGTGCTGAGCCCTGAGGGTTGTCCTGCTCTGGAAGTAATCTGCAAACAGCTGGAACACACATGTGGACACACTGGGATTGATGCGGTGAGCAGAGCAAGCAGTCTGCTTGGTTGTATGCCAACACACACTTTCCTCCCTCCAAAAAAGTGCATTAGCTCATTCATGTGTACACTGCCGACTTTGCACGCATTTTCATACTTCCACATGCTCACAGAAATACGCACCACTGCATTACAAAGAAAACCCACAAAAACTCAAGTCAGTATCCCTTTTGTTTCTACGCTCTCAGTCACATGCATGCACGCACGCTCACACGCACACTCTTTTGCCTTCAGACATGTGCTTATGCAAACATGCTTCCAAGCAGTGGTGTACTTTCATACATAACCAAAGCTGCATGCATAACTGTCGTTCCAAGCATGCCATCAGTGGTGCTTCTGGACCTTAAAATGTGTAGGAACAAGAGGGAGATGAGGGATCTAGGGAGATGCAAGATCTATGTCCCTTATATATCTGATGGTGGAGCAAGGCTGACACAAATTCTCCAGAAACACTCTTCAGGGTGGGCTCCCTTTCCCTCTCTCTGGCCATATTTCTTCATATATAATCTGATGGGTGGCACATGTTGGCAGTGAATGGGGCTGCAAACAGCAGCAGGCAGGGCCAGAGGCAAGAGTGGCATCCCTTTTTCTGCCACCCCCTTTGTCTCGCTTCCTCTTCTTTCCCACATGGCAGATACCAGGGAAGACTCAGATTGTCAGCAGAGATCTGCACTGATTGCATGCGACATGCTGTTGCAAAATGGGATGTAGGACACAGGGTGCCTGCTCCTGTGCTATGCCCCTTCTCTACCTCTCTCTCTTTCTCAAGTGCACAAACACTTCAGGCTGGAAATGGCTTCTTCTCAATTCATAACTGTGGTTAGGAAGCATCAGACAAGGGACTTCTTCCAGGCTATCCGGATGACTTGGAACTGCTTAGCAGTGGCTCCCTTCTATGCTACAGAAATAATGCCAAGGGCCCAGGTTCTCAGAGAAGGAACTCATGCAATAGCTTCTCCAACAGCAGCACTGCCTCAACTATTTTTAGGAGGGATGCTGGTGTGCCTGTGTCTCCTGTGACTTGGGCCTGCTGTGGTTACCATAGTGGTGCAGAAAACAGCACAAAGGTAATATGAGAAGCTACCCATGTTGGCCTTGCCAAGATGGCCGCAAGGTGAAGTCTAGACTTGCTTTTCTCTTTTGTTGTGCGCATTGCCATCCCAATACCTTCAAATACACTGGCATTTGGTCCTTGTCTGTTTTCCACTCTTGCCCAGGAGAGGCCAGAGTCTGTGCAGGCCCTGTGGCCAGTGGGGTCGGGGGACTCACAGGCACCTCTGCCAGCCCACTTGGTGGGGGGGGGGGGTCCCCAGCCAGTGAGTACAGGAGCACAAATATAAACTGAGAGCATCAGCAGCACCACCCAAGGCGGGTGCTGCCTTCAGCAACAGCCCTTTGCCCCATGTGAGAAGTGGACTTATTGCGGTTTTCAACATTCAGCTGGGGAGGGTCCAATAGACAAATGGGCATGGCTAAGCCCAGGCAAAGTAGGGCCACCTGGGCGGCAGGCTCACTCGCCAGCAACCGGCCTGGTCCTTCTGGGACTCCTGCCGGTCGGACACAGTCACGCTCTTTGCCCTGCGTGATGATTGCACACACAATGGTCAGCTACAGCAAACGAAGAATGAATGGGCTGGCTGCTTGCCCCCTCCAGCCTGCTCTCCTCGCTGCCCCCAAGCCCCACCTTCCATGGGGCTGTCCGGTGGCCCTCTAGTGAGTGAGTACATAGCAGAAACACTAAGACAGGTGATGGGTGTTGGGGTGATTTTACCCTGTTACAGAGACACCAATGCAAAAAAACACGCATGGGCCACTTGGCAAGTGGCCAGAGACACAGACAAGCAGGCAAGGGGGTGGCTGGAGGCCCCGGCCCTGGGACACTCCTTTGCACAAGATGAGAGAGAGTGCGGCCTGCCGAGTTTTTAGTGTTGATAGTATTGCAGTCTAACTGATATGGCTTTAACTATTGAGGGAGGGAGGGAGGGAGGGAGGGAAGGACAGAGGGACGGAGGGACGGAGAGACAGATACTGAATGCAGGGAGACATCTCCCAAATTCAAACTTAACCCCAAGGCAAAAGCAAAAGCCCCTTCACACCAGTAAAGCTTCAGGAACAAGCAGGACCTTCCTTCCCAAACAAATACACACGAGAAAGAGAACCCCAGAACTTTGCCAAGGAACTCCTGACCAAGGTCTTTGTCTTCAATGGTGGCTGTGGACTGTCAGTGTTAGGTGGGTGGCTTAGTGGGGGTGGGGTGGCCAACCAGCAGTGAGACTTCCCGCTTGCCTCCAAGGCACCCCATTTTGCAGTTCTGGAGAAAAGATAGTGAGCAGCAGGGAGGAGTGAATGGAGTGGCAGCACTATCAAGGAGAATCGCATCCTTTGTGCTGGGAAGTCTGCAGAATGTGCTCTCGGTCATTTGGGTTCCACTGCAAAGGTAGGTAGAGTGGAAGGTTCTCCTTCATGTTCTGGAGTGCCCCTCCCCCTTGACTTGGTGTGTGTGTTTGAGAGGAGGGAGTCCTTGGCATTTCGTCATTTTAGGAGAAAGCTGGGCCGGTGTGAAAAGGAAAGATATTTACGTCATAGGAGCAAGAGTGATGTAGAGAGGATTTGTATCTGTGCTGCTCTGCCTTCAGCACTGCATCTGCAGGGGCCCCGTGGCAGGGTCCCGAGGCCAAGAGGCCACAGGGAGGGGCTTCCTGCATCTGACACAGTGACACAGCCCTCAGCCTAGGGCTGCTCTGGGGCTCCCCATCCCGAGAGATGGATCTACCAACCAAGGGTTGTCGGCAGGCACCTGTTGCTCCAAGATCCTTTTTCTCTTCTGCCCCAGGTTTCTTAATCATCTTTGCCACCCTGCTCAGCCTCCTTTCAGGAAGGTGAGGATTCTCTGGTTCCCCCTCAATAGAGGTAGAGCTAGCTATTTCTCGTACCCTTGCTCAGTGGGGCACTGGGTATAAAATCCCCTTCCATCCAGATTTATCACTCTCCATTATTCCCTGCTCTCCAAAGCACTTTCTTAACTTATCCTTTTCCCCAGAGCAGCAGTTGAGAAGGTCGAATCAGGAGCTTGACCTCCTCCCCTCATTCTTTTAGTCATTTGGAGCTGCACCAGCTGCAGGGCACTTTGAGGGTAAGATACCCCTGCAACTGGAAAGTTAACAAAGATGGTCTAAACAGCGAGGGTGAGCAAGCATCCTCTTGTTCCTTACTTTCATGAGGAAGTCAAGAGGTCTTGAGACATGGTCACCCTACAGAGGAAGAGCAGAATTGTGAACGTGGCCTTTGGGTCCTCAAGTCGCCCTGCGGGGCTGGTGAATGTGTGCATTCAAAGTGGTTGTACAGAAGAGAGTTGCTGCCCCCCTCCCCACCGACACATCATCTGTCCTGCATTGGTGTTTGTGGTGCAAATGCGCTCCCTTCCCGAAAAGAGCTCCGCCTCACCAAAAATGGAACAAGACTTCCTCTTGGTGTTTGTGGTACAAATGCAGCTCCTTCCTGAAATCAGCTTCTCCTTACCAAGAGCAGAACGAGACATTCTCTATATGCCAACAGCCCTTGGAAATCTGGATTGGGGCAGGGGGTGCTCCAGCGGTCGTTCCCTTGGCCAGGGATGGAAGGGGCAGGAGCCGCCCATGCCCCAAGGAGTCAGGCAGGAGCAGCGGCGTGGAGGGAAATGGGCATGCACGATCTGTCCCTGGCAGTCAGCATGGGGCCGAGGAATGGGCAGGGTGGGGGTGGGAGTCTGGCCTTGGCAGGGGCCTGAATCTCCCTCATCGCCCCTCCTCTAGGACCCCCATGAGGTTGCATCAGTGAATTTGGTCCCAGTTCCCCGTGTCCCTGTTCCCAGGTGTTGCTTCACCCTGACACCAGCCAGCACTTTGGCACGACACAATCCCAGCTTGGCCTGGGGCAGGAGGGAGTGTGGGGAAGGGGGGGAGCCAGGCTCCCGGCAGTGCCCAGCCTGTGGCTCCAGGAGCACAGCAGGTGAGAGTGGTTTTTGGTCTGGGGGGGTGCAGGAAGGGGGAGCATGTCTTGTGCCAGATGTGCCTCTCCTCCTGGGGTGAAAGAGAGTGGGGTGGCTTGGCAGGGGCCCCGTGGCACAAGGACATGTGTGGGGTCTCCCCTTGGAACAAAACCCAATGGAAAAAAGAGAGATCAAATGAAGTCAAAAAGAAACGAGAATCGCCTCCCCATCAAAAGCCCCAAACCCACAAGGAGGCAGTGCCTGGGGGATGGTGGGTGGAGCTGAGGGGGGAGGTCTGGCGTGGTGGTTACTTCTTGAACATGTCCTGCAGTGGCCCAGGCAGGTACTTGAGCACCGTGTCAAGGATGCTCTCCTCGTCCTCGTCTTCATCATCCCCGCAGCCTGCCGGGATGGCTTTCTTGGGGCGGGTCAGGCTCCCCTCACAGGGCTGCTCCAGCGCGGCTTTCTCCTCAGCCTCCTTCTCCTCCTTCTTCTTCAGGCCGTACTGTGTGGGCAGGCAAAGAGGGTCAGAGAGGGGCAATCTTGCCAATGGGCCAGGCTTTGGCGCCCTCCAGCCGCGCTTCATCGGGAGCACACCAGGAGCGCCTTCCATGACCCAGGCACTTCCTGCAAAGGACCCCGATTGCTCCTGCTGCTCTGTGTGAATCATGTTTAGGGGCACCAGCATGCAACCTCAGTATTTATTGATCAGGTTGTTGCCATTATTACTCTTACTGATAATAATAAATTAATAACCATTATTAAAACACCAGCAATAATACATTCCAAAGCCATCGGGACACTGTTCAGCCATTTAAAAGAGTATCACTTTAGTATAGTAAAAAATCCCACCCAAAAAAACCACCAAAACCACTAAAACCTTAAATCAGCTATGTAATTAAACAGATGCATCTTCACCCCTTTTCCAAAAGCCAGGAGAAGGGCACAGGGCGATTGTACTTCCTGAGAGAATGGTGACCCTTTACTCTCCCACAAGTAGGGGAGACAAGGATCTTTCATCCCACCCCACTCTGTTCCCCAGCCCCCTCCCTCACCTTTTAATCTGAGCCAGACAAAGGGCAGAGCTTCTGTATTTGGGCTGCTACTTCTGCCATCGCGCACCATTTGGGTTCCTGGGCCAGAAGCAAGTGGCCCTGGAGGTGGGAGGTGTGCAGAAGGGACTCACAAGCTCCCTCCAGTCCTCAGATGTTCCAACCCAGTCCAGAGCCTGGGCTGCAAAATGGCACCCCCATTTTTTTAACCAAGTGGTAACAGCCATTTCTGAGCTTGTGATCCTCCAAACACTTACCAGGAAACAAGCCCCACTGGACACAACAAGTTTCTTGTAAGCAGGTGCAGGATTGCATTGTGTGCCAATGGCTGCACTGGCAAATTTCCCCCTAAGGCTTCCTTTGTTCTGATTCAGACCAGTCTCTTGTGCTGACTCTGCTCTGTGTGGGCATCTCTAAGCCCCAACAAACAAGAAGGAAGATTGCAATGCCAGAGGTGGTTTGCCCTTGGAGCTAGCTGCCCCTGAAGAAAGCAAGCCAGTTGGGCACTGGGGACCCAAGACAGGGCTGGACAGCAGCAGAAAACACAACTGGGGCTTAAGATGGGAAGCCCATCCAGGCAAAAGAGAAAACTGAGAGACTGAGGCAGTAAGTGCAGGATCCACACTGCCCCCACGGCCAAATTAACTCAGCACTCACACTGACTTGGCTCCACTTCTGTGTTATGCACGGTCCTTCTTTCCTCTCTCTGCAGCCAGAATATGCCAGTGGGTGTATGAGGGGTTCTTTGCGGCTCCGTAGCCCCTCTTTGCAAACCATCCCCATGCCCTGGAGTCACTAGTCACAGATAGCTGTATATGCACATGTTGAGCCCTGCCACCCAAGCTCTGCTTTGCTCTTCCCTCTGAAAGCTGGCCATGTAGTCTTTGTGGGTATCTCTCCAAAGGAGGACCCCAAAGATTGAGCACCGCAGCTGTGAGGATGGTGCTACCTTTGAAGGGGAAGGAGGCAGGAACATGCCACAAACAGAAAGAACCCATCAGTGACCATCCAGCCACATCATCACTCTTAACCACACAGATTAGGGTTTGATGTCGAGGAAGAGTGTGTAGGCCTTCAAGCAGTGCCTGAATTGGCATGTTTTGGAACAGCCCTGTTCGATCACAGTGTGGTTGGGCAACCTCCAGCCCCTGAGCCCAATCCATCTCACAGAGATTGCCCATCCAGCCTGCAGAGATGTGAACTTCCCCCATGGGCTCCACTTACTCTCCTTCCCATCCCATTCAAGTAGGAGTGTTTTAACAGACACTTATATTCTAAGCTAGGGAGGTTCTGGTGGGGCTGCACGATATTTCCATCCCCTCATTATGACTATAAGCACATGCTCTGCTGTGGAGGCTTGGAGCCATGCAAAATCTGAACCCGTTGCAGGGACGAAAGAGTAAGCGAACAAAGGAGCACTTCTTCTACTCTGTGGGTCCTTTTGCACCAACCGGAATCTCCTGTTCCCACCTGGCAAGGTATTATGAGCTGGGCTCAGAGAATGCCTGCTGAACCACTGCCTCTGCAGAAGGATCTGAAAGATCTCAGAGAACCAGCACAAAGGCCTTAATACAGCTGCTCGCAGATCGGCCCGTGAGGGGACCCACAAGGAACTGGGACTCTTTGAGCCAGGAGCAGGGCCAGGGTAGGCGGGCAGTGAGCTGAGTGGGGAGAAAGAGGTTGAAGGAAAATGCAGGGAAGAAAAACCTCTGGGAAGACTTTCAGGTGCATGGGCCATGCCTATCCTTGCACATGAGTCAGTGCCTCCCAGCCTCAGCTTTGAATAGTCCAAAAATCATTGAAAGATACCTCTTGACTGGTGTGTCCAGTCCACTGTTCCTCTTGGACATTTACCAGCAAGGAACAGAGTCAGCAAATGTCTGCTGCTGTTTGTGCCTCCCCAGCAACTGGTATGCTAATTGACAACTAATATTGATAACTAATATCAGTTATCAATACTTAATTGTACAGCCCAGGTTCACTGTATTTGTAAATCTCTTGGCTCGGCCCTGGCAGTTGTGTCTTCCTAGTTTCCTTGCCAGCTATTCTGTATTTGTCATTCTTCTCAAGATCATGGCTACAAGGCCTTGCAATGCAATCCAGCAAAGAAATTACCTTATCGCGGATTTGCTGCCGAACCTTTTCCCGTTCAGCCTCCATGCGGGCATGCTTGGCCTTGCGTTCTTCCTCTTGCTGACGCAGGGCTTCTTGCCGCTCTTCCTCCTTTTTCTGGGCATCGGGGTCTTTCTCTTCTTCACCTCCCAGCATTTTACCCATGTCCTTGGTGGCCCCTGCACATGACAGTTTATAAACCGTGGTGAGAGGGGAAGTCCTGGCTCCTTAGCCCAGTGGGAAGCTTTCTGATGACTTCTCTTGAAGCCATGCTTTCATGCTGCAGGCGTGCCTCTCCATCCCTCTGACCCTCAACGTGTGAACAGGTGTGTGAGCATGCATATGGGGGCTCCACTTCCAAAGAGCTCAGCTGGTGGTATAATCTCCTTCTTTTTTGTATAATAGGGATACTATGACAAACATGATTTTATATGTAGTTAAGCAGTTTATAATGATAATGACAATGACTGTGCTAATAGGTTCCACAGTGTTGATATGGTGGAAGGTGTTCAGGATAATTTCAGTGGAGTGGCCTCTCCAGGTCTCAGTCTGGAAGGATGAGCAAAGTTAGGGAGGGTGGGGAGATAATCCCAAGGTCAGCCCACCTGGGGATCCTTGGTCTAGAGACAAATTGGAATTCTAGGACTTGCTCTTCTGCAGCAGGAATGTGCATGTCACCAGCTGAGTACAAGTGGGGCCGCTAAATTCCCATACCATTTCAACGGTTCCCAGGGGCTGGAAGAGCTGATGTGGAGACTCCCCATGTGGTCCACCTCTCCTGCTGGATTCTTGTCATCCCAATGTTACCAGTGTGGCCTGGGATCATGCTGTGCAACACACCACAATTGTATTTGTTCGACCTTTTATTGCACTTTTATACTCCTTTTCCTCCAAGGGGCCCAAGGTGACATAGATGAGCCTCCTCTTCGTTCTATCTGTATATTGGTCATGTGACCAATTCTCCCAGTTCTCCGTCAGCTCCACTGGCTCCCGATTGAAGTCCGGGCCCAATTCAAGGTGTTGGTTATGACCTATAAAGCCCTAAACGGCTTGGGACCTGGGTATCTAAAGGAACGTTTGCGCCCATATATGCCCTCCCACCCCTTGAGATCAGCAACGGATGCCCTTCTCCAGGAACCCTCCATGAAAGAAATTAGGAGGGTGGGTACTCGGAGGAGGGCTTTCTCTGCGGTGGCGCCTAAGTTATGGAATGCGCTCCCCAGAGAGGTCTGCCTGGCGCCGTCGTTATTTGTTTTTCGGCGCCAGGCGAAGACCTTTTTATTCAAGCGGCATTTCAATTGTTAACATTATTGGTTTTATCTGGCCAGGGTGGCTTATTTTATACTGTATTGTGGTATTTTAACTTAATATTTATATTTTTAATTTATATTATAATTATTGTGAGCCGCCCTGAGGCTTCGGCGAATGGGGCGGCATAAAAATGTTTTAATAAATAAATAAATAAATAAATAAATGTAGGATTTTTAAAAAAATTTAAGCCGAGAATGCACCGGGGGTTTTAAAATGTTTTTTAAATTGTTATATTATTATTATTGTGGGGAACATTTTATGGCTGCTTTGCTCCTTTTAATAGATATTTCCTATCACAGATGCTGTTGTGAAACATACAGGAGCTGGGAGTCCCTGGTGATCTACTGAAAACCACATAGAGATTTACAAGTCAATCCAGATCACCTGCCCTTGACGGTTATATATAGCTGCAAAGGTGGGATTGTAGAAAGCAATGCCAGCCCTTCCACTCTTTGAATCTTAATTGTAGGCTAATGGAGCAACTATTAACGCATTTCCCTGGCAAATCCCTAGAGGGAGCTAAGATATAGCTAGCCTGCATTGAAGGCCTTCTTAGATGGTGGGAAATCTAAGCATTTTTTTCTTGGCTAGCCTGTGCCACTGTAAAAGGTGCAAGCTGGAAGACAGTGGTTCTGCAAGCAATATCTTGACTCCAAGGAAAGGAGAGGGAATAGCCTTGCTGCAGGGTCGACAGGTGTGCCGTGGTGAGTGCTACAGAATCCTAGAAACACAGGACAGTGGCGTTGGAAGGGGCCTAGAAGGGCGGTGAGTCCGACCACTGCTCAGTGCAGGCCTCCAAGTTAAAGCATCCCTGACAGGGGGCTCTCCGACTGCCTCCCGAATGCCTCGTGGGGCACATGCATACCTGTGCACTGCTCTTGTTTTTAAAAGGTGGCCACACGCTCCAGTAAGAGAGAGACAATTCAAGGGCAACACTAAAAAACAGAACAGGGGAATATGAAAGGTTATGGGATTTCTACAGCTGAGAGGAGTACCTTGTCTCATGTTTCTCTCCTCCCATTTCAAAAAAGTGACATGAGCACTTCTGAAATCACATGGAGGGGTCACTCAGCCTCTGTGAACTGAACAAACTCTTAATTTGACCCCGTCTCAAAGTGGGGCAAAGATGGTAGGGCAAGGAGCATGTGCCCCTTGTTATCTGAATGAGGCTACTCGGCAACAGATCCTTGGCAGACTTGCGCAGCTCCAGTTCAAGGGCATTCCGAATTATGGCTGGATACGCTGGGGCGCTTCTCAATGGGGAACGGCTGGAAAATGGTGCCTCCTACCCACCACTTCAGGCTGTGTCACCTCATCCTCGCTTATGGCAGGGCTGGCTCTACAGTGCATTTTCCATGCAGATGGAGCATAGCAAAGAGTTCCTGAGCTGACATTGGCCAGCGGGCTTCCCAGTGTGCCCCTTTCTTTCAAGTCTTCCTTGAAGTAGCAGGTCCAGTGAGCGTTCTCTGCAAGGGGAAGGGCTGCCCTCCCTTCCTCAAGCCAGCACGCATCCATATGTGATGGAGCTGGGGGCTTGGCATGTATTGAATCGCTCAGCTAAGAGCCAGACGGCTGAGCTTCCCCCTGCAGTTTGTCAGCAATTTGGAGTTACAAACCAGCCTTGGCTCCCCAGGCCCTCAGGAGACTTCTGGGCCTTTCATCTTCCTGAGTTTCTTCTTTGCTTCTGTGAGTCGTCATCATTTTGCCCAAACCAGCCAAGCCCTTCACGGGGGAGAAACAGGGGAGCTGATGGTTGCTGTGCCAGCACATTTCCAGCAGAGCCATGTAGGATCAGGGAAGGCGTCTGGGCATGATCCAGCCATGTCTGAGTGCTCTGGGTAAAAGTAGTTCTGCTGTCATCAGCTCCTCCTCCTGCCTTTCTGTGATCCTCTTCCTCTCCCTTTTATCCTCCCAACTACCCTGTGGGGTAAGTTAGGCTGAGAGTTGGTGACTGACCCAAAGGCACCCGGAGAGCTTCATGGCTGAGTGGGCACCAGAACCCAGATCTCATGAGTCAGTCCAGCACTCTAACTCCTACATCTTGCTAGCTCTAAGTTATTGCAGGCTGGTGCCCTCCAGATGCTGGCTGGGAGTCATGGGAGTTGTAATCCGGTGCATCTGGAGGGCACCAACTTGGGGAAGCTGGATGACTGTATCCTGGTTGCCTGTAGGTGGGGTGATGGAGATGGAAGTAGGATGTAAGGCAGGAGGATCTTTTCTAGGTTTGCTCTACAGAATAAACTGGGAATTGACTGTAGTGGCGCTGCACCTTCTCAGCTGCCAAAAAAAAGGAAGAAAAGGAAAGACAGTCCATCATCGGGTGTGGCTGGGGAAGTGACGGACTAGACTCTTGGTAAGATATACTGTAGTTTATTATTCAGGATCCGGAAGAGCAAAAAACACAGCCAAGATTCCCATATGGGAAAGCTCCTGAGAGGATGATGAGATGACGGAGGAGACAAGCTGTAGGAATGGGCTGGGTAGCAATGTTCACTTGAGCCAGGGTTCATCAGAGTTAGTTCTCTCACCTCTTTTTGTGAAACAGTAAGGATGAGTGCAGTGCCTCTGAACTAGTACAGAGTGCCCCAAGGAGACACGGTCAAGTTTCACACATTCTGGAGTGAGGGTGTGACTTCCAGGGCAGACCCAAATCTCAAGGTTCCCTTAAACTCAGTGGGACATACTTCTGAGCAGATGAGGCACTGGACTGTGCCGCAGGTGGTGAACTGGAGACATCTCTTATCGGCATTGGCTTGATAAGGAGGTACTACAAACGCTCAATGGACAAAGGCAAGTGTCCCTGCTTCAGCATAGCACCCCTGCCACTACAGGAAATGAACTAGATATTGTCACAATGGCTTGTGTGTGGACTTCACTCATGCTCTCCTCTTCATCTTGTATGCCTCCAGTAGCCATCAAGGCAAAAGCAGGAGTTTGCTCATTTTAAAAAACTGCGTGCTTTGCAAAAGTGAGGCACAGGTGATGCTACACTTCTTGGTATTATGGCACCCTCCTTGATTAAACAGTAATTTAAAAGGGGAGTCAGTAGAGGCTTCTAAGGATACAGAAGGTATTCCAGAAAGCTAGGGGGAAAAAGAAAAAAAGAAGAAAGATTCCTCCTTTGGGGCTGTGTAGGGGTAGATACAACCTTTCCCAGCTGGGTCACTGCTGAGCTGCTGCTTCCAGAGAATTAGAATCTGGCCCAGGCTCTGGTGTCAGCAATGTGTTTGAAAGGCAGGGGTAACAAGGCTGTGCCAATCAGGGCAGCCGGTATCAGTGGGTGAATGTGAACTGGAAGAATATTCTCTTTATCTTGTACAAGTACGGGACAAAATGGGAACATTGACTGCTTTGGCCTTGTGGGGGTGGGAGGATCCTATTTTTCAGTCTTTATCTATTGCAGCCTTTATTCTGAGCACCACAGAACATTTCTGTGGCACTGAATAAGTTCACCTCCATGAAACACCATGAGTAGCTTCCAGAGAGCACAGAACAAAGGCTGCAGTGGATGAAGAGGCCCAGTGCCAGAGAAGTCACCTGCCCCCTTCTTGCTGCTCCTTCCTGACTGCTTGATCTCTGCACAGACCCAATTCCCCCAACACCATCGGATCCAGAGGCAACATGCCAAGGGACCTCCGGAATCATTGAGTCCCACCCATGCATTCTCTGTATATTTACACTGTTTGAGTCAAGGTCCAAAGCCATCCAGATCCAGCACACATTTTCAGTACAGGACAGAGTTATGGATGCTTGAGGATTCTTGTTCAGTCTGAATTTTAACATGGTCCAATGTATGATCTGTACTGCCTTAACTCAACTGGGCCACAGCTGTCTTTCAGATTTTGTCCTTCTTATAATTTTGCAATTCAGGTCTCGGCTCAAAAGTAAACTAAAATGCATATAGAAATGGGCATTTTTGGGGTAAAGTCCATACAAAAATGTGTGTTTTCTGAGAAAATGCATTCAATGATGATGATGATGTGTGGGTACTTTTTAAAACTGAGGGGACGGAAACGGAAATCAGCTAAATGGGCATACGGATGTGCACACGTGAGACTGACATAAACTGGAAGCAGGCTGCTTTTTGCATCCTAGAGACTGCTCAGAGAACTTTGGCTGTGGGGCAGCATAGAAATAAATAAATAAAAATAGAGAGCAGGGATGTGAACCCTCTTTTCTGGCGGACAAACTCTGGTCTGCCCGGGGTCCCAGTCAGACCCTCTGGGGTTGCTCAGACAGCCACAGCCTTCCCCTGGCTCCACCCAGTTCTCTTAACTGTTGAATTGAATATGGTGGCATGAAGCTGACAGAATGCTTGAGTGGCAAGACTTACCCCCTAGGGCCTGCTTCATCACAAAATCCATATTGCCAGCTGATTTAGTGAGGTCTAGGCAAAAGTAGAACTCTCATTCAGTGTGGCTGGTGGAAATCTCTGGGTCAGGCGCTACCTGGAAGGGAAGGAAAGAGAAGAGATCAAGTGATCAGGCCTGAATGTGGATAGGAAAATAACAGGGCCCTGCCAATGAGCTCATTCAGTCTGAAACTCTCCACTCGGAAGCACGGTTAGGCCCAAAGCAGAGCACAAATACTCTGTTAATAACAGACAAAGACTCACTTCACAGAAAAGAGGCTCATGTGCCAGATTTTAGAGCTGGTTTGATGACCTTCTACTGTACTTTTTCTTCCTTCCCTTCTAAATAAAACATCAAAGGTGGCTAATGATGTTAAGAACAAGAACTGAGACAATGCTTAGCAAGATGGATGTCTTAAAATTTGAGACTTTCAGAATGAGGTCACACGGGATCAAAGGAAAGAGCCACCAAGCTCAGCTGTGCTCTGTCTCCAGGTGTACGTAGTCATCCCGAAACACCTACGTGCACTGCCAGAGCGAGTGGAGACGGTGAACTCAGCTGCTGCTTCTCAGTGGTAGAAGGCCTCTCATCAGGGACATTCACGGATGTTTTGTAACTTTAATTTGTGCATTTGAAGACAGGGCTGATTGTCTCTATTCGTTATTGACTCTAAGCTCTCCCAGCACCATGTGTGTGGTAGAAAAGTTGCAAAAGGATCTATTAGATGTAGAGTCCACATTACTGTACTTTAAGACACAATCCTGTGCATGTGACTGGGGAATGCTGGGAGCCAGTGTGGTGTAGTGGCTAAGAGCCTGGGACTGGGACTCAGACGATCTGGGTTCTAGTCCCCGCTCAGCCATGGAGCCAGCTGGGTGACTTTGGGCCAGTCACAGACTCTCAGCCCAGCCTACCTCACAGGGTGGTTGTTGTGGGGATAAGATGGAGGAGGAGAATGATGTAAGCTGCCTTGAGCCCTTTGTAGGAAAAAGTCAGGATATAAATCGAAAAATAAATAAAATAAAATAAAATTGTAGGACTTTTGTTCTGCCTATGGATGCAAAGGACTGCACTCTTAAAGATGTAGCCAGTGGCCATGCAATTCTTTTTTACTCTAGAGTAAGGGCAGGGTTTCCAATCTAGACAGACCCTTGCTTGAGGGAGTAGTGGGTCTTTAACTCCCACCCTGCACACACACACACACCAGTACCGGTTTGGATTGGGGCTCCTGCACCAGTAATTTATATTGCCAAGTAGTGATCCATTAAAGCACATTAATGAACCATTATTTGGGAATACAAATTGCATGCACAGTTCTCCTACCCCAAATCTGGATCAAATCTAGGTTGAAGGATTAAGATCTCCTATTTTCCATGCTAGGAAGAAGATCCTTCAGTAAGAGAGTGGATCAGTTCCCTGAACTTACTGTAGAGAAAAAAAAGAGGTAGCTGCAGAAATGTCTTTTAAGCAAACCATGCTTTGGCTCTAGGAAGTTTTTTGTGGGATGAGACAAAACTCATTTTGCAGAACTTCCTGTTTTCTGTAGTACTGACACATCTGGCAGTAGCAGTCCCTAATGTTCTCCCTCCGGTGACCTGCATTCAGTGGCTGACTACAATTTAAGCGTTTGGGGAAAAGGCCTTTGCTGGCTTTATTCTCCACAAAGTTGTCAAATTGCCCTTGGCAAGAACTCCCTTTTCTTTCTGCACTCTGTGCATATGACTCCATTTGGCCAGGCCAGAGTTAATGCAGTGATACAGCTACACGTGTGTGTGTGTGTGTGTGTGTGTGTGTGTGAGAGAGAGAGAGAGAGAGAGAGAGAGAGGGAGAGAGAGAGAGGGATGTTTCTTCAGTGCTAGACCCGGTTGTGTGGACTGAACGATCTTAGCTGTATTTCTGTGAGAACCTTTCCCTCCCTTCTAGGGGTTTGGGAATACTGTTCCAGCCAGCCTGTGGTTGGCCAACAGAGAACTGCTTAGAGTTGTCAGGGGCTTGAACATAAATGAGTGGGCTCTCCCCGTCTGTCTTCCCCTTTTGTCTTGCTTCTGGCATCATCTTTTGAGCCCTGCTCACAAGACCGTGACTTCACAAGACCATATTGTTAGGGGTAGCTCTGTAGCTCTGAATGCTTCAGTTTCAGTGCATGAATATGAAATTTGCATACATACACATCCATGTAGGGCTTTTTTGTTCATTTTGTTGACATTTTACAAAAACAGTTATTTAAAAAATGACTGGTATAAGCAAATTTTTATTTTCTGTTTGATGTATTGTGTTCAAAGGCTACTCCAGTGTGTCCTTTTAATTCTTTCCCCACTTTTCCCGTGTAAATAAACTGTACACCTACTTCAAGTGTTATGTGCATTCCCATCGGAGTAAGTTATAGTACTAAATCTTCTTAGTTAATTCCTATTGTTTAATGTTTCAGGCTCAGGAATAGGATATGGTGGACAGAACCGCAAGGTCTAAGAGCCCCCTGGCTCAGACAGAGGTGGGCATAAGTGGTGCTGGTGCCTACATTGCCTGGAATTTGGGCAATACCACCCCTCCATTCACACCCCTTTAAATCTATTTAAACCTGGTGCTAATATCTTATGGTAGTGGAATTCACATAAATCAGGTATTGTGTGGCTTAAATCCATCAGTTATCAATTGTAGGAAGAATTACTTTCTTTGGTCTGCCTGAATCTATTGCCTGAATTGACTGGTGTACAGATAATCCCTGCATAAAATGAATATGCTCCTTGTTTGTGATCAGGGCTGGGTGCATGGCCATTGGTAGACCTGTCCTCCATAAATCCCCCCTTTTCAAAGCCATCTGATCTGAGCCTACAGCTGCAACTCAGTTGTTGCAATAAGCTGTCTAAGTCCATCATACCATCCTCATGAAATACAGCTATCACACAATTCAGCCTTAAGGTCCCTTCCCTTCTCTTTGGGTTACATTGCACCAAAGTTATTGGGGCTTAGATGGGTGCAAAGGGCAAACCCCACCATCACCAAGCTTGTAATTCCATGTTCAACATTCATATCAAGTCAGCAAGGCCACAAGAGAAAAACAAAATGACAAGAGTACTAATCAGAACATAGCCAAAGTCTTCAATCCCATACTCAGGGCCCTGGGAGTAAACCTCATTGAATTAAATGGGACTGACTTCTGAGTAGACGTGTTCAGGATTGTACTGTAATTAGGTTCCTTTCACTTTGGCTATACTATAGCTGCAGGCACATTTAACATTTAGCATGCCCCACTCTCCTAACTGGAAGTCCCCCCACCAAAAGACAAAAAACAAGAGAAAATTCTCTAAAACAGATGCTAGGAATTCTTGCCCTAGAAGCTTAACTTTTAGAACATTCTGGAAAGCAGTGCTTCAAGGTTCCTGCCTGCTTCTGAAGCACAACTTGAAATAGAGTTTCTATAGCAGGACTCACAGGGCTTATTTGTAAAATATCCCCCCCCCCCCGCCACTCCCTGAAAAGACCCAGGTAACAGAGGATCCTTCAGTAAGAGAGTGGATTAAAGGATTTTTGGAAGGCCAGATGGTGTGCAAACTGAGTGATGCACTCTGAACTGCTTTTGAGCTGGCTACCTTTGGATATGGATGGTGCATGGGTGTGAGTTGTATGTTGTATGTGAATGTGCATAGGTGTATGCTAGGGCTGTATGGATTTTGGTAAATCTGTTCCATTCCATACAATCCAATCCATACAATCCCGAAAAGGCTGATCTGTTGTAGAAGCCACAGGTTGGATTAATAGAAATCTGAGCTTATTTGAATTCTGTTGCACATTTACCCAACATCCCTAGCGCTGGGTGAGTGTGTGTGTGGCATCTTGGGTTCCACTGCTGAACACTTTTCATAGCTAGAAGTCTTTGCCTAACGCAGTTCCTTATATAGTTGCACATGCTATTGTTGGAATATCCCGCCTACGTTGTAGTCTTTTAAATTAGCTGCATATGTAAATTTACTAGCTGGGGTAGGGAGGGCAATTTTAATCCACTTGATTATGGACTCAGGCAGATGACAATATACTACCCCTTTGTTCCTTGACATTTCCCTTTAAATGGAAATCTCCTTTAAAAAATCTTAAAAGCAAAACCACTGTGCTGCTTCTTGTACTTCCATTGTCAAGTTCTGTGCTAGTTCACGATTTGCAGAAAACTCCAGCTGGGTTCATAATCTGAAGGTTTTACTTGATGCAAGAAGAGTTCAGGGGGCTGGAGGTGGAGTGCGGCGTGTGAGTGCCTGCTGGAACTGCCACTGAAGTGCCTGCTGCAGATCATGACCCATCACTTCCTACATATTCACCCAGCATACCTTTTTCTTATTGAACTCTTTATGAGATCAGAAGCAAGGTTAACAGGAAGATTCTGTGCTTGCTTAGGCAGAAGTAAAATCTCACAGCTCCTAGTATCCCTCCAGCTAGCCATGTTTGCTGAAATGTGCTGGGAATTGTGGGATTTTACTTCTGCCTAAGCAGGGATAGGATTGTACCCTAAGAAAAATGCCATGGGCTTGTGAATCCAGATTTGTGTCCATTTTCATATCCCATTTCTGCATTTTCAGGTCCCCATTTGTATGTGAAGATGTGTACATATTGTAACGTGGGAAAGTCTCCATATCAGACTATTTTTCCCCAGCCTGATAAAAACTACTCCTATGCTTGCCTACTTGGAATTGAGTCCCATGGAACTACTGTGAGTCATAAGACTGCAGCATTTAGCATGACCACCTCAAACTACTTCTTTGAAGAAACAGGTATAAGGTAGCATTTGCATAATGAAGGAAGTGTTTCTTTGAGCAAGTACAAAGTGCCTTCCCATCATTACTGAATAATTATTGTATCCCCACACATGTAGAATTAAAGAGCAGGGCTTCTTTCAAAGGCAGTCTCTTTTGGGGGGAAATACAAAAAAGCTAACAGCAAAGCTCCTGTACCACCAGTAAATATAATTTCTCTACTCTATACTTGACTGCACTGGCTAACTCTCTACCACTGACACCTTTCAT